AGAAGTGTTGATTTCTTTCGCTCCTCCTGATCACCTGGTAGCATCATCGCGTCTGATGTGATCCCAGCTCGGCCTCCCGCTTGCATGACGTACCATCCTAAGGCAGTCGAGATGAGATTGCTTGGGGAAGAAGAGAAGAGAGGAGGAGGAGGAGGAGGAGGAGGAGGAGGAGGAGGAGGAGGAGGAGGAGGAGGAGGAGGAGGAGGAGGAGGAGGAGGACAGAAGGGGGAGGGGGAGGACAGAAGGGGGAGGGGGAGGAGGAGGAGGAGGAGGAGTGCGAAGACTCACTTGGACATCAGAAGAAACAATTCAGCACAGGCCCTCTTCGACCGGCGGGAGGAGACGCCATCGTCAGGAGCAACGTGGTTGAAAGTCCTCCCCCAGTATCCCTCATTCTCATCCCACCTCCTCCTCCTCACCGGCTCCTCCCAGGTCAAGCCGCCTTCTCCCCGCTCCTCCTCTTCCTCTCCCAACGTCGGGCCTCTGCCTGCGGGAGCAGCTGACCCGGTCAGGATCTGCTCCCTCCTCCTCCCTTCATGACCTTGGTCGAGCTGCAGACACCCTGGCGGCAAAACTCTCCGACAGCTAAGGAACAGACATGATTTTCTCCCTCTCCCCCCTCTCCTCCCTCCACTCTTCTCCCCCCCCCCTCTCCTCCCTCTCCTCCCGTTCTCTCCCCTCCTTCCTTCCTCTTCCTTCTCCTCTCTTCTTGTCTCAATGCTGTTGAAACAGGTGGGCTCTCAAGCAGAGCAGCCCTTCGGATCTCTCGACGAAGCCAAGTCACTTATCTTGCAACTACAAGAGACGGTGAGAAAAGAAACAGCAGTAGCAGCAAGAGGAAAGAAGGAGGAAGAGGAAGAGAGGGAGAGGAGGAGGAAGGGGGGGGGGGGGAGCAGCAGCAGCAGCAGCAGCAGCAGGGCGGAAGAGCGTCTAGATACCATCTTAGAGATCCAACAGGTCAGAGCATCGCAGGAGGAACTCAAATCAGCTATTTCTCGAGAGCAAGAGGCAAGTACAAGAATCTCTCCTTCTTCCTCCCCCTCTCTTCTCTCCCTCCTCCTCCTCTTGTCTTGTCTTGTCTTGTCTTGTCTTGTCTTGTCTTGTCTTGTCTTGTCTTGTCTTGTCTGGTCTGGTCTGGTCTGGTCTGGTCTGGTCTGGTCTGGTCTGGTCTGGTCTGGTCTTCTCTCCTCTCCTCTCCTGCCTCCAGCTCCTCACTTTGTTGTGCAGCTTCGCAAGGAGACGAAGGCTCTCAAGAAGCGTCTTGAGTTCATGGCGAAGTTTGTTGCTCCATTCTCCCCCTCCTTGCGATTAAATTTTTCACGCAGGATGAATGGAGGAGGAGAAGACAGAGGAGCAGGAGCAGGAGCAGGAGCAGGAGCAGGAGCAGGAGCAGGAGCAGGAGCAGGAGCGCAGTACGACCTGGCGTCCAGGTGAACCTCGGCACCCACTGACATCGAAGTCACTCCTGTCCTCAGAGGACTCTTGTCCTCCTTGGGGGCCCCGGGGAGAATTTTCCGCGAGTTTGAGGAGGAGGAGGAAGAGGAAGGGACGGATGACGCCGGCGGCCTTCTCCTCCACTCCGTTGGGAGCAGGAGAAGCGAAGGGTAGAAGAGTGGAACGATTCTACTGACAGGGCTGACGCACAAGTGTAGGAGCTCACGGGGATTGAATCCGCTCAGTCAGACTGTCTTGTCCTCCGAAACTTCCTCCTTCACCATCACAGGTATCTTCCCCCTTCTCCTCCTCCTCCTCCTCCTCCTCCTCCTCCTCCTCCTCCTCCAGTCGTCCCCTCCTCGTTGCAATTGATCTCACTTTCTCCTACAGCGGACGTCATCCCCGCCAGCGAACTTGGTCTCTTCTAAAAACCACTCCCGTCACCTCCTCCTCCCCCCCCTCTCCTCTACCTCCCCTCCCCTCCCCCCTCTCCTCCTCCTCCTCCTCTCCTTCCTCCTACACATTCTTCTCTCCCTCCCCTCCCCCTTCCTCTTCTTCCATCATTCTTCTTTCCTTACAATCCTTGCAGTCACCGCACAAGCTTCCAAGAAGCAGACGAAAAGTCCATGGCAGAAACGACGCAGCCACATCGTTCATACTGCACCACCGGAGGTTCTCCTCCCCTCTCCTTACTCTTACACTCTCTATTCCTCTCTTCCCTCCCCTCCCCTCCCTCTCTCTCTCTCTCTCTCTCTCTCTCTCTC